ACAGCTTTTTGTGCCTCCCGGAAGAGCCACAGTAACTCCCGTCACAAAAAAAAAAAAAGTTAATTGGCACATTTCCTCTTATTTAGCTGTGATTCTGTGATTATTCGTGTTTATGGCAGTTGGGGATGATAAAGCTTCTGAGTGCATGGCATATTGTACGTTGTGTGAAAAAGCTTACGAGAAGTCTCTTTATCCGAAAAGTCGTGGTAAAGTTCATCCTCGATTTGGTGGTCTGCTACTGCCTGTGTTTATATAATAGTGTAGTTATACCTCGAACGGGTAGTCTTTCTGTGTGTATATTTGTTTCTCCTAATATATATAGGACAATTTACTCCGCTGTGCGGCCCCAAATTCCGACACCCGCAGCCCCCCCTGCTGTGACCTGTCACGCAAAAGAGAACCGATCGATCACACAATTCAAACACCTTCCTTTCTTGTTGCACGCGGATCCATCCTTCGTTTTGCTGGAGCGTTGCACGAGACGGCTCTCAGCTGAGATTCATAGGTGGTGATGACCATGCGTATTGTCGTGGGTCTGCTACTCATACGTGGCGCAACTCCTAAGCCATTCCCATCGTCGGTGGTCGCCCTCCCAACATTCGGTCTCGGCAACGAACACCGTGAACACCGTGACGCCCCTCAACAGCGGCAGGAGGAGGAACAGCCAGGAAGAGCTTCTATCGGAGGGACGGCGAGCGCGCCATCAACTGGTGCTGCACTATCGGGCGGTGAGGAGGATGACACGTCGCCGCACGCACAGATCCGCGACGAAGAGACCTCCGTCCTATCCCTCACGTCTACGAACGGGTATCCGGATATCTCATGGTCACCCTGGGCACACTTGGCTGAACCGCACCGAGCCAGCGTCCTTCGCGCGGAATCTCAAGTTGGGAATCCCGATGACGACGTCTTCTTGTGGACGCTACCGAACGAGAATGGGGCATCGTTCCAGGGCAGGTATGTACATGGTTTGGCGATGAAATTATTATGCGAGGCACAGACTATCTACCATGGTCTCGACGTCCAACAGAGTACTTGTGGAAGGGTACAAGGCCAACGGCGAGAGAACACAGGTTATTGGATATATCCTGAAAGTACTCATGGCTTACAGCAAGTAGCACCGGCGTCCACAAGCCGAGAGGAAGGTGTCTAGTCGTGTACACTCTTTTGCCTCTGGCTCCAGGCTACTAGCAACACACCTACCTGAACGGCCTTTTTCCTTTCAAGAGCTCTGTGGCAGACTGCTTGCTGTTGAGAAGCACAACGACCACTAGACTATTGACTAGTAGTCTCAACACAAACGACTGCTGTAAGCAACATGCATAGACGATAGGTCTTCAAATTTACCGCATCGAAGAGGAGGCTCGGCTGGTCGATACATATGCATAGATGCTGAATGTGCATATATATTAGTGGGGCGGTCGTTCCGCGTTCATAGACTATGACCTATACACGGGAATACTTTGTGTGCCACAAACAGGGAAATCGAGTACACCTTCACCGAGCCAGGTCGAAAGGACATCGTGCTCACCCAGACCGTGACTTCTACGGGCGAACGTCACACCCTCCACACACACATCATGGTCAAGGTAAGAGAGAGCACACCATACGGGCTCGTTTGAAGGTGTGCTACTACTGTGAGCCACTACTACATACACCAGTAGCATGTGTACATACGAGGAGTACATGTCCCGCTATTGATGTAGACTAATATTAATAGCTGCCGGTATCAACACACGATATGATATATCGTCGCTTCACCGGTCATCACAGGCACACAACAGCAAGCGTTGCATTCTGTACCGCCCTTCGCCAAGGCTTTTGATGTAACATTCACCTTGAGTGCAAAGTTGGACTGGCATGTGGGATAGGATCAGCTCTAAGACTACGCACGCATCTATCTATTAGTCTATAGCTGAAAAAATACTTTTCGAAGGGTATTTTTTTTTTTCCACCATCAATGGACTCTGTCGTCTGTCCCTCTGGCCCCTATCCTCCACTTCTAGTATGATAGCTAGACGACCCAACCGGGGTCACATATAACGGGGGGGCTGGATCCCCTCCTGCGGTTCCTGCCTGAGGTATTTTTATCGCGAGAAGGGTACAGCAATCCCTTCCCTCGCGACTTACGAAGTCGATTATGGTTTGCTGACAACGAGCTTTGCAGCGCGTCGAATTCATCCTAGACCAGGATTTGTGTAGTGAGAAAAAAACTCACTCTGCCGGGACTCGAACCCATGCCCTGGCCATTAGCAGGCTGCGAGGTTACCCACTAAATAGACCACCGGGGCGACCGTTGTATTTTTTTTTTTTGATGTAGATGTAAGGAGATATATATGAAGATCTACAGCAGTTTGTACCATCGGTATGCCTCGGTAGTACCTCACCGAACACACGCCCTTCAAATGCTGTATAAACCTTTTGGACTGATTGTTATGCGTCAATGGTGGTGCTACAAAATNTAGTACCTCACCGAACACACGCCCTTCAAATGCTGTATAAACCTTTTGGACTGATTGTTATGCGTCAATGGTGGTGCTACAAAATGTTGAAACGTAAACGTTCCTCTCGCCAGCAGCCGGTCTCTTCCAAATGTACCATGCTGCTCGCCCGCCGCTACACCATGTCCGCAGGCCTGCTGTCCTTCACCTGCAAAGGAGCGGTTGGTTGCGCTTGGATACAACAGACGCAACAACACATACACAGGAAAAAAAATATACACCGATGCAAATCCTGGTGCCTGGTTCCTTGAGACTAAGCACCCTACCTACAAATAATCTCGCCATGTTGCAACGCCCACCCACACCCCCCGTCACCATTGAGCCTCGCCCAAACCCATGGCATTCACGGTCGGTGCCGCGGTGTTGTTCAGGAGTGCTCGACATATCTATCGCGTCGCGTGTTCCCAGACAGGCATAGTCTTCTTGTGATGTTCGGGAGGATGCAGCAGTTGCGTGTTCGGAATTCGGAAGGGGTATAGCAGTTTGCGGTCAACTTGTGTGGTAGGTGGAGAGTTTGACGTCACAATGTGTCGGTAAGGGTATGGACGTCTGTACCTCGGTATTTGTCAAGGGTATGCCGAGAGTTTCGGTAAAGTACTGAAATCATCCCTAAGCGTACCGAGATTTCGGTAGGTATTGAAATGTTACCGAAGCATACGGGTAATCTCGGTAAGGTATTGAAATATTACCGAAGACTGAGATTTCGGTAAGGTATTGAAACATTACCGAAGACGGTACCGGCACCCTCGGTATTTGTCAAGGGTATACTAAGGTATTGAACTCCTACCGAAGCACACCGAGAATTTCGGTAAGTAACTGAAATATCATCGAAGCGCACCGAGACGCTCGGTATGATAATACCGAGAGTATTTACCGTCGGTATGCCTCGGTAGTACCTTACCGAACACACCCTTGGTATCTTATTTTTCCTGTGGGCCTCGCACATGCAGGTTTTGGCATTGGACTCCTCACGGGGCATCGGTTCTTGGTCATGTGCGGAAAGTTGTTTTGTTTTGAGCCTACAGAGTGTTCAACCAGAATGTTACGGTATTTTGGTGGTGGCGTGTACGTGGTTGAGTTTCACGACGTCAGCGAACCCGAATAAGGTAGCAACAGTTGTACACATGCCCCGAAAAGAACGGCATCAACCGAAGCAATATTCCGCTAGAGTTTGCACGATATCTATTAGTTAATACTCCGAAATCACAACCACGTTGAAGTCTGTAAGATCACGTGCTTAAGTGTCTTGTCGCATAGAGTGTAGCTCGCGCGCCTAAGAAACCAACCGTCGAGAAATAAGTGCTCAGAAAATTGGCGATAAATACGAAAATCGACCGAGAATCACCTTTTTGGCCGTGGATCCTACGCTAAATATACTCTGTATAATGACCTACTGCTGTGTGCTCGACGGTGGTGACGAAGTAAGAAGTTGAGCCTCGACCCAAAACGTGTGTTCTTGAACGCGGGCGCTAACTGCTTGTGTATGTCGAGACCTTTCGAGTGCCGACGTAGAGCTGTTTCTCAGTCAATTTGCTGCCTATTTTGTCGCACCCCGTCCGCGCGACTACTTCTGCTGCTTTGGACAGTACGTGCGGCGGGAGATCCGCACCCTGCACAACTCCGATCGCGTCGCCTTTTTCGATGCCTTGGAGACTCTCTACCGACTGCCGACATCGGAAGGGGTCCAGCAGTTCGGGTCCGACTACAAGGTTAGCGATCTGCTCAGTCGCGCCGTCCTGCCTTTTTGTGCTCGGTCGTGGAGAGACAGTTTCGTGTTGCAGCCCCGACATACATTTATTTACGTTCATCTCCTTTCACGCCACCTGTGGTTTCACGACGCTCGGAAAATCGCGAGCAGAGCGCTGTGCGTACACGGCAAAGAAGCGAGCGAGGCGTGCCAATGTTGTTGTACAGAACACCAGTGTTGTGCATGGGGCCTGGGCTCCTCGTGGCCGTTGTAACGCGTGCCATAGTTTTTCACGGGTAGAACTGGTCCTACAAGTGTCTGTCCTTTGCTTTCTGGTAACAATGTCCGGTTTTTTCTTGGCGTCCGTCCGCGACAAAGACCCGAAGGTTGTCTCTCGAAATTAAGCTGGGCGTAGTTTTTGTGCAACTCAACCGCAGTTATGCATTTTTCGTGCCCCAGCATGTAAATTGAAGTTATCCTCTGGTTTGGTAGGAAACTGACGTCCGTGTTAGGATCCGAGCATGAGGATTAAGACTTGGAGCGTTAAGCGCAGCGCTCTGTGTTCTCTGCCGCCCACGTGTGTCTGCAATGTCTTAAAAATTTAATGGTCCACTTGTTGAATATCGTCCCCGCATTGCCGTTCTGTTATGGCGCAAAAAAACACAGGGCATCGACTATTTCGTGCAGCTACACCTGGACGGCGCTGGTGTGAAGGACTGTGACCATTGGCACGACGACGCCGGTGAGCGGGGCGTTGAAATTCCTCATCAGCTTCAAGCCTAGACTTCAATGCGTCGATTTTCACGGGCATTTAATATATTCGAGGCACACGTTCGCTTTTTCCGACAAGCTTCTTAACTCCGAAGTGCCTTACCATGTGTTTAGACCAGGAAGGCCGTGCAGACAGACCCAGCATTCAGCAAGCTCTGATGTTGCCGAGTATGCGGTTGCACGTACACTGTACTGTCTCCCGCGCTCGTGCTGTGATGTCTCCTCTCTGTCGTGCTTCCGGGAAGGGACCACGACCCATGACTTGCGACAAGCATTGTCTGCCAAAACGACTACATCGGTTGGCATTCTGCTTTCCACTGATTTTGCCATGAATGTTGCATGCAGTCGCGAATTGGGAGGAAAATCCCAGTGCCTACCACCTAGCAGAAGCATGGACACGCCATCGCCAACCGATCCCCTACGCTCATCCCTGTGTACGACGCACTTTCGGCAGGCATCATGACTCACCACGTGGGATTCACCCTGCAGTTCGAGCAGGCCATGCAACTGGTGGACCCCTCGGTGACCATCCCCTACTGGGAGTACTCCATTGAAGGTGTCAAAAGGGCGCGACGTTGGTTACCCTATTGAGCACTCTGCCGTCCTCGTCCATGGGCGTGCTGTTGACGTCAGCAGTGAAGCGTAGGCTTGGAGGTTGTAGGGTTTGTTGCGGTTTCTTTCGGCGCGCGTGATGCGCACGTTAAAGCCCGTGTCGTTGTTTTAGAACCCGACATGGACATTGGTTGGCCTCTGTTGGGCGGCTTTCGATCTCGTGGATGATCGGGCCGACCGTGTTCCCGCATACATATCCTCTGAAATTTGGAAATCGAAATCCATGAAATTCGAGCATTTCCGGCTTTTTTTGGGTGTGTAAACAACCTCAGGGAGTGATGGTATGTTTTCTCCAGATTGTAGCTCTTGTCAACGTCTCATGTTCGTGGTCTCACCGGGCTGCCCTGTGTTGGTGCGTCGCCTCTCCCTTCTTTGATTTTAGCCGGGCGATTATTCCTCGCAACTGCCATCGACACTCGTCACCAGAGAGCCTCTCCATGCGATCGGCCAGTATGCGGCGTTGTATCCCGTCCCCTTCCCGCAGCCACCGTGAAGCACCACTATCGTATCGTTGTCGCCTTGCTCGCTTATTGGCAGCCACGGACGACCTCGACTCTTACGGAGACTCCATTGTCTTCGACCACGATTGGTTCGGGGAGTTCTCCCCGAATAACGACTTCCACACGATGACGAAGGGGCGCTGGGCATTCCTCCGGGTTCAACGGGTGCGGTCCTGCGTCTCTCTCTATTTTCGGTTGTTTGTATGTCGCGCCGTTGGTTCGTTTTGGTGCCCTTCCAGAACGCGGTCGGACCACGCTTGATTCCTTTCTGTAGGGGAGGGGGGCACAGAGTGGCTAAGTTTCCTTTTCCACGTCTTCCAACGTGTAGTCCCGCCTCTGGTTGTCTGCGTAAGACCTGCGGTAAGTCCTTCCGAATGTTTTTTTTTTTTCCAGGAGCGCCCGTCATTCTCGCTCGATGCTACAACGTGTCAAGAAAGGGTACTGACTTGAGTAGTCTGATGGGTGAGCCTTTCTTAACAGAACTGGGGGTCCCCGCCCTGTAGGCAGAAACGAACTGCTTGTGACGTGGGTGTGTCAAATATCGCACCGACGCACAACCTGGGCTGCCACCCACGGCAAGAAGGGTTGGGCTCAAGCTGCGAAAGCGGGTGGGAGCCTAACTCGTCACAGCAGTTAAAATAGAGAGCTTTCCCAGTGAACGCGGTCGTTCGGCACTGACTCGTGGTTATTGTGGAGTTTCGATGAGCCAAACCAGTAACGCCTGTGGGAGTGGGGGGTGGGGGTTGTTCTCTGAGCGAAAACGCTTGGTCCGTTCAGAAGGTCGTCGTGAAGATAGCGTTTTATTTTGATGTGCGACTAGTGTACGGGTGGCGGGGTTTTCACGCCTTGTTTCGGCTCTTCGGGCAAGTCGAGACCCTCCCACCTTTGCCGTATATCCTGTTCTTAGCAAAAGTAGGATGCGCTTTCGTCCACATCAGCCAACGACGATCTCGGTTTTTGAGAGACCAGCCACGGCTGAGCAGTTTTGCGAACGGGATGGCGTACCCAGGCTGTCTGTCTGTCTATGGCACCTCCTTCCAAGAGAACGAGCACCGTTGCTACGGCAGCTACTCTGCTCACGTTTTTCCCTGCCGATACGATCTTCCCCGACTCTCGGCGTTTTCCTTCAGGATGCGTGGGACTCCGTACACAACCCGTACGGGCTTCTTCGCTCTCCCTGGAACGTCGACGACACGCCTTTCGTCACTCGTCACAACACGACGAGCTCCATGGTAAGAGATTGCCCCTTTTTTTTTGTTGTTCAAAGGAAGTCGAGGGAGAAGCAAGTTGCCTTGTTCCTCATCTTTTGTCATGAACGAGGCGTGTTTTTTCGACTCGAGCGCACGAACCTTGAAAGTGTTGTTGGGAAGGTGTTGGCGGGAGTGCCGAAGTTGTGTTCCGATGCCGGAGTGCGCGAACTATGATGGCGGCCAGCGGAAACGACCTACAGCAGCAGCATATGGTGCACTCGCTCGTGAATTTCGGCTTTTTCTCGATCCGGAGATGCCAAAAATAGCGTCGGCCAAACGGTTGGGGGTGTAGGCCTTCCAATAGCACGGTCTTTGTGCTCGGGAAATGAGCGGGTGGTGGTGACGTAGCTGCCTCATCGAGCTGATTAACAAACAGGGCATCAGCTTTGCCTGCTGAATTGTACTCGCATCCCCTGTCCCTGTGCAACTAACTGCGTGCATATGGCATGCCTGGACGATATGTACTCTAGACGTGTGTGGCAGAGTTCATTTTCTGTAGCAAGCCGAAGGACGACAACTTCTTCATTCTACGTTGTGTTGTTGCTTTTTTGCTCTGACGTTAGCAACCTGTCGACACAGCCGTCGATGCTTTCAGAGTTGTTGGCCACTTACCCCCACAAACAAGCCCTCCGTCTTCACCGCCAACGTCAAGCTGTCACGACATCGCTTTGTTGAGCGATATCCGGCAGTGGTCGTGGAAGTACGGAGGCTTGGCCGCGCTCGAGCTTGGAGAGACGTTTGCATTTTCAAGCCACCACCCGGATCAAGACAGTCTGCAGGCAGCGCACACGCCTTCCTTCCAATGACATTATCATCTGTTGTTACAACGACCCGTCACACGTGACAAGCATTCACACCCGCGTTGGTGGGCTCCTGCTCGTTTTTTTCCCTCTCCTCTCTTTCTTCGTTTTCGCCTAATTTCTGTTCGTCGCCAGACGGCCACCGACATGGTGAGCTGCAGCGTGTACTCGAGCTGCTTCGCCTCCTCGAGCCTCTCAATCATGAATGCCTGTCTCAACGGAGAAACCCACGGGCCCGTGCACATCCTGACCGGGGGCGAGTGGCACGCGGCGGAAGAAGATTTCATCCAGAAAGTCGGTGAGGGTACCACCGCCACACATGACGCGGAACTTGTTTTTATGCGTGCAGCTGTTCACCTTAGACGAAGGGCCCCAAGAGCCTGCATGCTCATTGGCTTACGCCCGCAAGTGCAAACTTCGGGTTAAAAATCTAAGGAGACGTAAGCCTCTCCACCGAATTCAGATCCCACGTTGCACGCGATAGGACAACGAATGCCATCACCAAACGCGACAGCCCCGTGAAATGGCGCACTTGGGAACTCCGCACATGATGAGATTTTTAAATTTTTTCTAGACCAAGATCGTCAAACGTGTTACTGGTTGCTTCGCGAAGGATAACCTGGCGATGGCTCAACTATTGAATCAAACCTGCTTTCGGACCAAGGGACGCATTGTTTGTTGGTGCTAATCTCGCGCGTTCTCGCTTCGCCAACTCATAAACACGTCCAAAAGCTACCAATATGAATATGCCTCCGGGTTTCATTCAATCATTGATGACAAGTTTTCTCATGTCGACGGTCGTGCTTGGCAGCTTCTCTTCGCCTCCCCCATACCCCATACCCCGGTTGTCGCTCCCGCTTAGTCCGCTGCGATGGTTTTTTCTGTCCTCAATTTCGCAAGGGAGAGCCTGTGACCCGTCCCGCGACAGTTCCGCCGCCCGCGCGATTCGACGCGCTGTCCCCATTGTGTGTCGGCGGGTGATCAATCAACGTCATCGTCGCAGAGTTTATACGGCAGCGAGGCATGACATGGAACGACGGATCGCTTTAGAGGCGTCCTATCAGGAGTAGTGAAAGATGAGCCTTGCCTTGAAACAGCGGGGTACCCTAGTTGATTGGAAGTATCCAGGTGATCATCCTAGCGAGCCACCCACCGCGCACTTTCATTTCGTTGCCGTTGCCCAGGGTACTACGAGTCGGTGCCGCTCGTCACCAAGTTCCTCTGGCGCAAGGGCTACCTGTCGATCCCTGACAAGTGTGAGGTTGGAGAGTCTTGCCAGACCTCCTGCCCCTCCGAGCTGTACGAGTCGAAAGGGATGACGCCTTACGACGTCCTGATGGACGTGCACGCCCTCATGTGGACGTCACATACGGCATCTTCGCTGGTAAGATCCCAAGTTCATTTCCGCAGATCAACGTACAGCGTGAATCAAACACGGTTCCATTTGTCAAGAATAGCAGTCTTTCACGAGCATATTCTAGGCCTCGCACGACATGTGGGACGCCTCGAAAGCCTTGGTCTTGAAGCTGCGTGGCAATGTAAAATATGGAGTTGCCGGGATCCCATTCTTTTACAGCAGATCAGAAAACGCACGCCGGAACACTGTAGTCGTCACTATGTCTTCGTACAGGGAAGACTCTGTTGTGGCTTGCATGTCCGCTCCGGATTGCACCGTGGTACTAGATATATGAATTTACCGACCCATGCATCTATCACACACGTTTTTCGGCCCTCTTTGATGACACTTTGGACTCTGTCGTCTGCCCCTCTGGTCCCTATTCTCCACTTTTACCAGCTAGACGACCCAACCGGGGTCACATAGGAGGGGGGGGTTGGACCCCCTCCTGCGGTTCCTGCCTGAGATATTTTTATCGCGAGAAGGGTACAACAATCCCTTCCCTCGCGACTTACGAAGTCGATCAAGATTACTAACAACGAGCGTTGCAGCTCTTCGCTTCCAACGGAGACCAGGATTTAATTAGCGAGAAAAAAAACACTCTGTCGGGACTCGACCCCATGACCTGGCCCTTAGCAGGCTGCGAGGCTACCCACTAGACCACCGGGGCGACCGGTGTGTGTCGTGACGTTGGCACGGCACTGCAGATCGTGATTCCCGCGGGTCAACAGCGACTGCAAGCCCTACACAAAACTATATAGACTGACTGCGCGGTAACATTGGCTTTTTCTTCGTGGTACGAACTCAGGTGTACAGCTCGAGGAAAGACAAGTTCGAGGTGAAGGGGTACGAGGATGACGAGCCCTTCCAGCGGGCGTACTTCAAGAAAATGCTCAATTCCTTCTGTAACCCAGGGTACGCTTGTCGTATGTTCTGCGTCTCCCGGTCTGACAAGAATCCAAAAACTCCGCGGGGCGTTCGACGGAACCTCCCCGGCCTCCTACAACAAAAGCGATACTGCTGTGTTCCTTTCGTTGGGAGAGTGGGAAGTTCTTACAGGAATGCCACAAAGAACTTGTCCCTATGCATGAGCACTATTACCCGTTCGGCACGTTACCCCTGTCGAACGCATGTGTCGGAAGTTTGCAGTGTGTGGAGAAAGAAAGCCGCTGTGACTTATTCCGTGATGCAGGAGGTACGGTAGGCCCGAGGGGCAGCAAGAACATTGCCTGGAAGGAGTGGATGATCGGAGGGAACGGACAGTGCTTGTAGAGTAGTTTCTCCTACATGTACCACCCCATCAACCACTACTCCGGTGTATCGCTATGAAATGAACTGTGGGCGTGTCATTGCTATCTACTCCAGAGGGAGATCATGCTGTACCAAGATACTCTTGATGTGTCTGTTGGTTGAAACACGCACTGAAAAACTTGCCCGCTGTTCCTCCTTTTCCCGCCAGAGCCGTCGGGGAGATGTTCACATCTGCGGCGCCGTACGACCCTGTGTTCTGGGTAGTGCACCCGACGGCCGACCGACTGCTCGCCTGGAGACGGATGCTGGGCCGTCAAGGAGTGGAAGGGTAGGACGCACTCACAAGACTTCCTGGTTTTATAACGTGGTCTGTGTCGCACACCCACCACCCGGATTCCAGCGGCGTGATGTTATTGTTTTGGGAGTGCCTCAGGGATTCAGCCACTGCTCTTGGAGCGAGTACTGCCGTACCAATCGCACTCCGCTGTCGTTTTCATCATGGCGAGGTGGCGCACTCATGGAGGCCTAGGCTTTCACGGGGGGCCCGCTTCCGGTTGCAAGAAAACCTTGCACAGGCTAACAACAATGGTTGAATCTCTTCAAGCGTTTTCTCTCTCACTCCGTGTCAGAGCCGCGTCGGACTTTCACCTCTTCCGTCCAATCTCTACATTCCTTTTTTTTTTCGCCAGCATGTTGATGAGCGAAGGATTGAGCGTTCCTCGTACCCGGTCCCGTTTGGCGCAGTCGGGGATTCGTCGGGACGAGAACGTTCAACCTCTTCTGTGATGGTGTGGGAGAACACACAGGCATCGCTTTTTAGTTCACTCCCTAAATGGTACGCAATGCAGTTCGTATCATATATATTGTCACCCTTCACCACCCCACGGGTCTGTGTGTGAAGCCGTTCTTGCAAGGCTCGTCGACTCTTTTTTCGCCTTCGCACGCCTTCAATATTTGGCCCAGGTGGGACTTCGACGAGACCTGGGGCTACACCCACACTTCCGTCGTGGGGGAAACGGGCACCGTTTGTAACTGGGACGACGTCGTCCCAGGCTCGGGCGACATGCCGACATGCATCACGGGCATCTGCGGAGGGCACAACGAGGATGACCTTCTTCCCTTCACGGTCAAGGTAGGTAGACAGCAGCAATGGGGGGTGGGACGTCTGCCAACCCGTATGCGTACCGTTGTTGTTGTGGTTGTTGTCTTCACGTCAATTCCGTTCCGATCTCCGCTCAGTACTTCAAATGTCCGCACTGGTCCAACCGACGCGGACGCTTACGTGGTCACTATAATAGCCAACTCCATTCAAAGGGGGGTACACTCGTTTTTTGTAACTCAAAATCATCCTGATGTGACCTTTTTATGTGATTGCCGGTCCACAGTGGGTACAACACCGACTGACACACAGCACCAGGGGTGGGCACTCTCTTTGCACCCCCCCTCCCCCCCCCGCCTCGCGGCGCTATTGGCAGCTCCACTGGATATCTCAAGAAAGACCCCCTCTGTCGTCTCCTTCCAACTCGTCCCATGCAATACGGATGTCCTTGGCATCTGCCCAACAGGTCAAAGGGGAGAATGTGCAGCTGACGAACGCGGAGTGGATGGACCTCATTTACCCCACCAACGAGGACCTGCCCTACATGTATGACGAATTCAAGTGGGACCACTGCAGGTGAGCAACACTCATTCCTTGGATCGTCGCCACTATTCCTTGCGAGGACCCTGCAAGGTATTTTTTTCTCTTCGATTCTGAACCAACCCTCACCAAGAGCAGCAACAACCGTTGTTTCAGCGAAATAACCAAAGCAAGCAAGCGTCGCCCCTGCAGGGCATGTCGCGAGACGAAGAGTACCCACTCGAGGCTTGACGTGCGAATGTTAAGCTACAGCCCGACACCACGAAACACGTTGCAGGTCTGAGCCCCGTGCTGAGCCCCTTTCGTCGATGCTTGCTATTTCTCTGGCAGCGAGGATGGGTATTCCTTCGGGACTTGATCGGCGAGACACAAGCGCACGGTCGGGCCGGGAAGACTTTTGGCGCTTCTTTCCGCACCTGGAGTTTCTCGAGGACTCGATAAACAAACGCAAGATAAGCAGTGGGCTAAGGAAACACGTGCCAAGGAGGAGTGGCGTCGGAGCAAAGGCTCGGCTGATTGGCGTGCAAGCAGCGTGAGTTTCCGACAGACACGTCTACAAACCTCTCGTGACAGACAGGCTGCAACTCAAGTCCGGTACTGCCGGTGTTCCAAGGTGTGGAAGACGACATACAAGGGAGAGGCTGGCTCAGACGACCTACCAACGATGCTTGTTTTGCGTGCCAAGGGGGGACGAGGGTCGAGGGAAGGAACGCGTTGTTATGTTACCCGCATTGTGGCGGTTGTGGTGGCCGGTCGGTCGTGGGGAATGAGAGCAATTCTCAGCTCCTCAAGTGACCAGCGGGTTGATGGAGGCGTTTCTCTGTCGAAAAACAGAGTGTTAACTGTATAGAAGTATCTCGATACGGGGTCTGATGTTCCGCCTTCGGTAAGCACCGAGGCTCTCTTGTTCCGGTATTTGCAAGCAGTACTTATTAATTTGTGCGTGAAGCATACCAGTGTTGTTTCGTGCGGAGTGCTTGGGCGGTTTGGTCGGTCTTGAGACATTTCTTCCACTTAGAAAAAAAAGTGTTCGTACCTCTTGCATTTGATATCGAATTCGCAAACCGGGTCTCCCACGTACCTGTTGGCCTTCATGGGCTCTGATGTTTCAAGATTTGCCGTTACAAGGGCGCGCTTTTCTCTTATTTATTTAGCAAGGGCGCGCCCTTATGGTACGCCTAGTGGTGGCGTACTTCTTGGAGTGGGATCATGGGGGAGGGGTGGAGGTCCGAGAGATGGAAGCGGAGTGTCGTATTTTCCAGTTGGGGTGCTTGTGGTGACGAGGAAAATGGATACTGGCTGGTCGTGGCGAGTGAGATAGTTCACAGATGCGAAAAATCGGAACCTTCAACGGTCCTGCACGTAGCCAGCGGGTCGATAGAAGCGCCCACTGTTTTTACAAAATGCAGTCTCGCGTAAATTATTGTCGACGCGTCATATGTCCGGTCTCCGTGAGCGCAAAGGTTCAATTTTCCATCCTATCGCAACAAACATTATTTTGTTGTTAGGTATAAGCGGTTGGGTGGCCCTTGCAGATATGAACGTCCAAAAGTGTAACGCGCGTCCTCTGGTCGTTGATTTCAAACTTGAAACCAACTCTCCATCTATCTGTTGGTTTTCATGGGGTTCTGACGTCTTAGATGTCTAGGCCGCCCCGCCATGCAGAAAGGGCGCGTTCTTACTCTTTGCATTCGATGTGGCTTTCCCCCCATGATTCTTATGGTTTCCATAATGCATTTAGTGACTTTGGACGATGGTATGTAGGAGGAGGTGTTTTTCTTCCACCACTTTTCCATCATGGAGCATTCGTCGACCTTTTCGTGTTGCCGCGGTGCGTTTGGGTTTGTTTTTGTTTCGCTGTGATCCCTTGCCACCCTAGCCGCCGTGCAGTCTTGTTGATTGTCGTAGTCATGGTGGTACCACTTTTCTTCGCCCGGGGCGGGGCGGCGCTCAATTTGCTTTTGTTGTTTGTCAGGGCACGTCGATCTTGTTGTTTTCAACCTGAGGGCCGCTTGATGTGTTTGGGTTGTCAAGGAACAAGTTTCCTATAGGGCTATTGGTTTTGGCTTGGAGGTCCGATATTTTGTTGTGTTTTCGGTTTTAAAAAAAAGTCCGTGCTGTTGGCTTTGGCTTTGAGGGCCTATGCAAAAAAAAAAATTGTTTTCGGTGGTCAACAAACACTTGCTGCGTTTCCGGCGGGGGCACGCTTTCTTTGTGTTGCTGTTTTCGGTTTGTTTTCTCTTGTGGCGTACGAGCAGCTTGCTTGCCGTGCTGCTACCAAGAATATTGGGGGGGAGGCGGGATGCTGTTCCATGATCCTCGTGGCAGCACGAGAAGTTTTCGTGTCGTGCATGCGTTGAAGAATGATGACGACTCCGCTTACCAGGAGGTCCGTGGGCCATCGGTGCAAGACCCACTTTTTTCCTCTGGGCCTTTATGGTTCCGCGTGATTCACAGCAGCAGGGGATGAGGGGATGTTTGAATCCCGCTAAAAACAATAAAGTGTTCAGGTTTCCATTGGTATCTATCGCAGCTTGCCTCGGGCAACCGTGCTGGTCCTAAGATATTTTGTTTTTTTTATGAGGTGGTCTGTATGTCGTTTCCACCGGGCGTTGCAAACGCGAAATTTCAGTTGAACGTTATGGAGGATATTCCCAGTTCTACGCGAAGAAGAATGTGTCCGCCCGTGTGCTGGTCCACCGAGAGAGTATTACCCTGATTGATGAATCCGATGATACAGAGAAAAGATGAGAGATGGATTCGTTGCGTCGTACTTAATTTTGAACCAGAAAAAAATATAGTTAGGCGCCTCTCCTGAAGGGGACACAGGGATACACAACACACAACTTTCCTTTTGTTCATCCTTACTTTGCTACCATCCAGGTAAAACTGTGGAGGAATAGCCTGCCTAAGCAGAAACTGCTCCCGGCATGTAGCTCGCTCTTGTCCACGCGCGCCGTGTGGAAGGTCTTCTTGCCGCTCTTGCGCTCTTAGCAGCACAATACAAGCGCGGCGGGTTTTGCCGCGGCGGTTGCCGTGCCCCAAGTCCGAGCATGTAGAGGTAGTAGCTGGTTGCCTTGGTTACGAAAGGAATGTCATCAGTCTGATCGCTATTCGTCTTGGCACCCTGCGGCCTCTGGTCGCCTATTGTAAAAGGCTCGTCACTTGGAAACGAGGGCGTGCAGGCCACAACGCAACACACAAAGCAAACCCCACCACGAACGGGCGCATCCGTGCTTGTACAACCAGGAGAGCTGGCCAAGGTTGTAACAGCCCTCCCAACCTTCCGCACCCAGCCTTGTACAACCAGGACGGCTGGCCAAGGTTGTGGCTGCCTCTCAACCCCCCTCCACAACCTGCCCGACCTTGGGGGTGCTCACAACCTAGCCCCAAGGTGACTTCTGGCCACCAGTATAGTCAAGTCTGACAACCTGTGCTCGACTCGCGAAAAAAGAAGCTGAACCTCGACCCGACGTTCTTCAACTAATCTCTGTGGGCCCGTTCTGTGCAGCACACACACAGAGCATGGTCTTCACTCCCCAAAACAGACTACACAGCAGTAACGCACACGGCTAGAGGATCGAAGCCGACGCCATCCCCCTCAAGGAGTTAGTTACTGCCTGTACACGTACATGATGATTACTGAAAACTGCTTTGTGGAGATTGTGCAGACACGCTCTCCAAGACAGACTCCAACACATCCCGTTTGACTCTGGTTGTATCTCGAACGGGTACCTGAAATGCTGCATAACTTAAAAGACTAGGTACCGGGATCTTGTACTGGATCCTGTTCCATTGTTGGCCCGCTCAGTGTGCCTGTGTGGCAAGATCGTCAAGGGTACCCAGATTGCCCTTAGGGACAGCAGTGTGTGTACCAGTAGGGGGCAGAATTATAATACATATATGCATCAAGACTGCTTTACAGCAGCAGCAGCAGCAGTACATAGCAGTGTGGAGGAACCGTGCTCAGCGAACTTGTTATACCTCGCCGGCTATGACTGTTCTCTCCTCTGTTACCTACTCTGCTGCAGACTGTCTTGCTCTTTGTGTGGACTAGTCTGGACAGCCAGGTAGAACAGACAACACAGGGTCAGGGTTAGCGACAGAGGAGGAGGAGGAGGAGGAGGAGGAGGAGGAGGAGGAGAGCAGGGAGAGGGACATACGCGCACACCAGACACCAGACGCAGCGATGCAAGACGCATCAACAGCAGACGCTTACTTGCCGACGATGTGATTGGCTACAGGAATGACAGTCTTTCGAACTTCGAAAAAACGAAAAAAAAACAAAAGGAGCTCACGCTATGGATTCATTTGCTAATCTATCTTAGACTTATTTCTATAGATAGAGATAAATAAAAAAAGGAGCGGACCGCCCTTCCGAAACAGCGATCACGCCTTCGAAAAAAGCCGTCAATGCAACATCATCATCACGTGATTTTGGTAAAGGTGACCTTAGGAATCATGCAATCCGCCCTTGGGATCACGGTTCACGCAACCCCCCAACGTATGGGATCGAAAAATAATAATGTTATGCGTGGCGTGCAACCAGATAGTTTTCGCTCGGTCTCCCAGGCGGTCACCACTACTAGGCACAAGCCCAGACGTTTGCGCTCCAACGCAGACGAAGATCGCAGAGCACACCATCACGTCTTGCGGAGGTTACGCACAGCACGCACAGCACGGCAGCCGTGGTTTGGAGTAGGGGATAGGCCAGCAATATGAAGGCTGCAGGTGGCACGGCGTCTGCTTTGTTGGGCGCAGCCCTCGCGACGGTGGCTCTCCGATGCTCGTGTGCCGGAGCGGCCGTCTCCACGTCGTTGCCCGCCAGCGGCGACCTCACCGCCAGCAACGTTCACCCCGCAAACGCTGCGGGGAAAGCGGTAGCAGCGCTCGCTGCTGCTGAATCAACCTCGGTTCATGTTGGAGCGTCAGGTGGGCCTAGCCATAGGCATTCCAGCAGTTGTTGGCCTAGAGTTCCAAAAGTTTCTCTCGTCGCACTGAATTGATTTTGTCGGCAGGCACAGTGGAAAAAATGCTGTTGTTGATGCTGAGTGTGGAGAAAAGAGATGGCGACGACAATGCTGTCAATCCGCTGTGGCTCGGAGGTAATGGCTGCCACAGCAGGGAAGAAGCGGGGGCAAATAACCAGAGGTATCACCAGAGGTGACCACCCAAACGTGGTACTACATACATTTAACGTGGACGCATATCTAGTCTATTTGATGTAAACAGTCACGCCCTCTGGAAACAACACAGCTTAGTTGTGAACGCACAGAATCAGACCTTGGTGAACTACGGAGGTTCTTGATTTTCCGCACACAGCGGGTCTACGCGTACAACTTCACATGGCGGGAAACGTCATCCACGTAACTGCTGTTAATATTCCATGTACCGTCCGATGATGCGTGCTTTTAGCTACCGACCCGCGCAATCGGTGGGCTCTGCGACCGTCGAGGATCCCCACCGCCGTGTCATCACTCACTGCTGTCTTCGGACATGACACTCTCTCCTTTTATCTACAGCAGCAGCAGTCTACTCTTTCACAACAGCAAGTACGGCGTGAGGGGTGCAAAAAAAGTAAATACCAAGAATTCTCTGCCGAGGCAAACCAATAGGCGGCATGCTGGCGGCTGGCACCAAGACCAAACAAAGCAGACGCCGAGTGAGGAAAAAAATTACGTGCAGTACGGCTCGGAGGGAAAAAAAAGGGAAAACTACAGAACAACAGGGTATACCCTGGTCGAAAAGCGACACACCTGGGTACACAGCAGTCAAAAACAGCAGTAAATGCACTCATATCATTGGTCAGCGCCCAATTTCACCCCGGTGCGTCGGAAGGCACAGGGTAGACTATATACGAGTATACTTCCTCTGTCACATAAGTAAAGTCCGTTATGATTACACGGCCATTCAGCCGTGTCCGATGTCTTAGGCGATACTTTTTTTGAAATCTTGAGCGTTTTTCGGGTTGAAACCCATATTTCTTTTTTTTCTTGCGCACTACCCTGCATGCACTAGCGGCTTACAAAAAAGTAGTCAGGCCAAAAAAGGCCGTATTTTGCCCCTTTCCATGAGGGTGGGGGTGGGGGCACGAAACGAAACATACCAAAAAAAGACAAGAATCATCCCGAACCCTAAACCCAAGGTTACCTCTACTGAACGATCCATTTCGCGTCCTCCCATACAAAAACCAACATAGTAGTGAACCCACGCTAAAATCAAGACATTTTCGAGGCCCACACTAAAACCAATACACTTGGGGGCGCCACACTAAAATCAAGTTACTTGCGGGGCAAAGCCGACAGGCGTAGGGTCCTAACCCTACCCCCCCCTTGTACTCAACGACCAATGTCGCGTCAGCCCAATGTTTTCTGGTGTAATCACTACCAACGCCGTACCGCTCGGCGAGGGGGCCTAGAAAGCCCTTGGGTACCCTTTCTTTGCCCGGCGGAATCGCCAACGCTATCTCCACCGCCATGGCGTACCGACGACCCAACGATACTTCCGCACCCCGCTTACGACGTGGGGGTGTCTGGGCGTCGTCCCCCATGATAGCTACGTCGTTGTGGTGGTAGTGGGTGCTCACACAGCACAAGCTGCAATTATTCTTTAAAATATTCTCAAAATGTTTTCAAAATATTCGCAAAATAGTCCCGTGTTTGACACACTAATTCTCAGTAATTGTGAGTCGGATTTTTTTGAAGTCATGTGCGTAACAAGCGCTTTCCAACAAACCTAACTAGAGTGAATACCTTGGCTGGTGAGGTATGTAAATTCCCCCATAACGGACTTTACTTATGTGACAGAGGAAGTATGAAGCCAAGAGAACGGCGAGGGCGTCGTAAACGCCCTGGGGGTGCGATCTACACGCTTGGGAAAGAGGGCGCTCTGCGCACATTCGCCCAACGTTGGTACACGGCAGCATGCCGCAAGTGGGGCGACAGGTACATCGTGTCTTCCCAAGGCAACGAGCGAGCAGAGGTGTGTTTCGTAGCCTCCCGCTGCGTTTCGCCACAATGCTTCCGCGGCGTTATTTTTCAGTGCCCATTTCCAGCACGTGCGTGAAAGCAGACGGACTACTGTACACAGTTAGTTTTGATGGGGGGCCCTGCTACCGGAAATGCCTATCGTCATCCTTAACCCGTTTGCCCTCCCCCTACGCTCGACCCCACCCACAAGCACGCATTTTCACGGTTGCGCGCCACCCGGCCCCGCGTGTGTATGCGGCTCGTGAAGCACCCGCACCGCGGAGACTCGATGACTTCTTGGCTTCATGACGGCCTCGGTTGTGCTACCGATCGCCATGCCCTTTTGTGGTTGGCGAAGAAAGCAATCAACCATCTCGAAAATTGCTGTAGACGGATTTTTTCACAAAATAACGCATTCCCTCCGCTCACGATTTTTTTTACGAAAAGACCGCATGACCTACAGCGTACTGCCGCCGTGATGGTCGGATGGCCACATGTATGTGTTGGCTTGTTTGAACGTTGTGATTGCTGTGATGATGTGGTCTTTTGGCAAAATATCGTCATGTATGTATGCAGCCTTCATAGAACAACGTGAGCCAATCACGTTGACCGTAAGCCTCGGGAGTAGTAGAAACTAGTGACGAGATCGCCTTCCCCAAGCGTACCTGGAGATGTTTACGTGGCCGCAGCAAAACAATGTGGAAGGCTCCCTATCAAGAGAACCGTGCTGCGGGGGAGTTTCACTATACACTTTTCCGATCCAAGGTGCCGTCACAATAGATACTGCCGTCGAGAAGTGGCGGGTCTGTCTGTTGACCCTGCGCGAGGAGGAACCAAAAACACGCGATTCATCGCGCACCTCACGCCAGCGGTATAAATATGGTGTGTGTCCCACATTCTGGAAAAAAGAAGAGGCCACGTGGATGTGGATGTATTTTTTGTGACGAAGACTATCGGGCGGATCGAAATAATCCACAGACAGGAGCAGCGCACGCGTTTGTGTGTTTTTTTTTCAAACATTTAACGAAAGATGGGTACGTACATACACGTAGGCAGACACAGCCAAATTATCACGCAGTACATTCATACATCACACGCATGGACGTACTGTGCACCCACCACTACGGGGGAAAAACCAATTCAAATAGACGGGTGGTGAACGGAAAAAACTAATTCGAACCTAACTCTCGGCCGCAGCGACCTGGGTGCAAAACTATTTTGTCGTCATCAGTGGTTGTGCGTTATACAACGTTCCACGTTCGGCCCAACGTTCCTGCTTTGTGATAGCTGCGGGTGGCGGGTGTTGGTTAGCTACAGTATGTACCATAGCGTTTGTTTGCCTGTGCCTCGCGAAGAGTGAGAGCCAGGGAGAGGAGGTGAAGAAACAAATGCACTATGAGCGGCCAAGACCCGAACAGCAGAATATAACAGCAGCAGCAGCACAGCGGCACAAACGTGGGAGTCGATGACAGCAGTAGACAAGAGAAAGCCAACAAACAGGCAACGGGTGTTGTTCTGAGTTTAAGAGAGGGCAAGTGGGACCGACCAACAGACAGCTAACCTCGCACCACCAACTAGCCGCGCTTCGAGCCACAACGGTGTCCCACCTCCTTGATTGATAGTGTACTTGAATGGCCTACCAGCCTTTAGAAGCGGTTCAGACTTTTTTCGCGGGAGGACGTGTTTGTTGTGTTCTCCAACGTGCTCAACCACGAGTGAGTGAGTACAGCCGTGTGCGTTTTCGAAACTGCTGTAATACCGAGACCTGTGACCTAGAAAGGTGTTCTTCGCCGTTCTCCCCGCTACTGCTGTGCTAGAAAGAAAGAAAAGAATGTTATAGCTGCTTCAAAGAACATGAAAGACTCTCCAAGTCGAACAGCCGCCAGGAAACAGAAGGGAAAAGAACACCCGAACAAACTCCACTGCTAACGACCAGCCATTACACATGTTTACCTGTACATACATAGTCTATGCACTCACGAAGGTAGAATACAACGAGAAAAACGTTTAATAATAGACCGGCGACGGTTTGAACCCCCCGCCCCCCCCCCCC